TTAAAATAAGTCTAAGGAAGGAGTAGACAGTTTATTCAACCATGGGCAGGTGAAATTCCCAAGGGCCGTTATCCGAGCGCTCGACACCACAAAGAGAGAGATTTCCGTTAGACTAGGGCGGGACGCTAAGTGCATAATGCATCAAGTAATTGGCAAACACCATTTTAGTATTTGTTTATTATAATATAAAACTAAGACTAATCTCCTTAAAGGCTTTCATAATCCTCGTATTGACGGTGGAGGACTTTTGCTGAAGTATCCCTTGGAAAATTCGGAAATGCAACAACTTGAGGAGCTTGACTTTGCTACTTTGAGCATACGCAAAAACCTAGGAAGTGTGAAGTCATGCATTAAGAAGTCTACGCAATCGCGCTTCTCTTGCAAACAAGTTCACATTTTTAGCAAACATAAATGATTTGAGCAAGTGATCGCATATAACTAAAGTTGTTGTTCAGTCCTGATGTATACCATTTTTTAGTCTGAATGGATTTACTGAGAACGAAGAGGAGGAGAAGTGAGCAGTTCGTAGGTTCAGCTGGAGAGAGGGCCTGGAAACAAGTTGGTTGACATATATTCTTATAATCTAGCACTTTTCACGGAAAAACATCGCTCCACAATAAAACCACACAATCTCGACTCGTTATTTGAGATGCATTCTAGACTGCGGAAAGAATAATAGCATTTATGCCGGATTTTTGTTGAGATAAGGGTCTTCCACGCGTTTAACCAGTATTTTGGCATTCTGAATGAAATTCTGCGATCGACTAAAGCTGAACAAGTCATGTTTGCTTCAAAGCTGGGTCAAGCATGGTGGCATCATATTTTGGCAGGCACTCGGCAAAAGTATTTTAACGTACTTTGAAGTAAATAAAATTTTTGCATTAAGTGGTGCAATGAGATGATTTACGCTTGGATTTGCATTAGAGGATACGTTTTGGAGCGCAGGAAATCGAGTTTGCTCTCAAAGACTATGCGGAGGAGGGAACTTCTGAGTTGAATGCCTTGGACTGGGGAAAATGGCAGAATCTAGGAGGAAGGAGCGAACATGGGTAAAGAGGAGCACGGCAAATGCTAAAAAAGAGAGTCACTTTTGTGTTTTCATAATCCTCGATCGACATCGAGATTAGGAGGCATAAAGCGCCACTTTTGTAATTCGTGATTTCAGCTCAAAGGCAAAGATTTAAGCAGCTAGAAATGAAGATGAGGTTTCGGACACGCTGATGTCATGAAAAATTTAGGTTGGCAAACAGTCAAGTGTGCGTGTAAGGAGTGACAAACAAACATTTATGCACTTGTCAACAAGCATTCCCCGCAGATAAGCACTCGCACATCCTTTCGTTTAACTACAGACGTCAGAGTTAATTCATATAAGTAAACAACATCCGTGTGATAGTTGCAACGCCTATCAAACATTCCGTTTTAGGTTTGGTCTTCAAATTTTGTTAGAAGTAATTCCTTACTTTTAAGGCTAAAGTCATAAAGGGAGATTGATAATCAAAGCCCAAACTTCATGGTGTTATAGGACTTCTTCCACATTTTGCGTCACATGCACGGAACACTTACAGTCTCCCTGACAGCAAGGCTTTGTCCAGATAGAATGCATAAAATTGAGTAAAATGCCCAAATAATTCTAGAAAGCCCTAAACTCCAAAGTCTTTCAGGCTCTTTGTTTAGAAGTCCTAAAGGACTAATGTCCTCACTGTGTGAAAATTTAAAGCGTTTACAATATGGTCGAATATTTGGAGCAAAGTCACAGCCTTTCTACGACAAATCCGTTTCACTATGCCTCATCGTCAACATAAAGTGAATTCACCATTTGGAGATGCTTCTTTATTATGCAAATTGAACGCCCTTTGGCGCCACATGAGGAGCCCACCCATCCGGTGCAATTGCAGTTTCCCACATTACAAGCATTAAAATGCTACATGCATACATTCGCATAAATACTTTGCCCTTATGCGAAGACTGACTGTAGCCTCTACTAAAATAAGCTGGGCGGATCCCAAATTACCTAGTGCAAAGGATGTAGAATCCTACACTGCTTAATGGGATACAGAGCCATCTTTCATTCCTCCGCTCGTGTCCTCTTGCCGAAGGGTTAACTCTTAGCACATAGATTTCAGAACAGAAGAATAATTGTGTTGCACTTTTTTTTCACCCGGAGCCCATCTAACTTCAAGGCGGTCTCATGGCAAATTCATAGACGAAGTTCTGAGGCCAAAATTTGTGCTTGATGACAAATTTTGCCCTATTTCCCATCAGAGAAGCCAATTCTGCGAGAGCACGCCAGGCATGCCGGCTCGAAAGGGTGAAACTGCATTCGCTTGGCCCTTTCACTGGCCAAAAGTGATTCCACATTCCCTCTTATTGAGGCTTAAATGGATATGATTAAAAACTTTTTGCATATCTAAAACTAAAAGAACTTTGTTTTTCGACTCGATCGTTGGTGAACTTGAATAGTCTCAACATCACAACCCTGTAATTAAATGCAATGGCTGTGACCACTTCTGTAATCAGTGGTAACATTCAAATACGATCACTGTCTACTGGTTACAAGAAGCAGCTGTCCAATCCCCCATACCTCAAAGAACCCCAGCCGTCTTCAATTCAACTGTGCTATCGGTGTCCAGCACAATTCTTCGTGAAAAAACAGTCTTCGCAGGCAGTAATGCATTCTTGTATTGTTGATCAGGCAAGTGCTCATCCACATTACTATCGTGAGGATGTAATATAAGAGTCCAACCTAGGCTTTAAGTAAGAAACGCATTTCTAGTGTACCAAGATTGCTCAAATAAAGCCCCCTAAAACGCAACAATTACTTTCAAGGTCGGGCAACCGTTTCTGCTGGCTTGACCTTGAAATTAATACTCCAGCTACTTCAAAAAACAGTCATTTAGGCAGTCAAGCGTAAAGTTCATTAGCGTTGCCTCAGCTCTTCGAGGTAAATGTGAAGAGATTTTTAACAATTAAAATTTGAAAATCCCTATTTTAATATCGGCTACACACCGCTGAGAACGTAATTGCATAAATAATTCAGCTTCTTGAGCAGATGATTTTGACAACAGGCCTGGAATGGTCATCCCCAGTCATGAGAAGTGGACCTTGGACTTTAACACAACTAATCAGGAGGTAATTTTGATTTTTTTTCCGTCAAAATTTGGAAGTAGGCATAGTTGGAACAAAAACTTATGTAAGATCTTGATTTGGCCTCATAAAAGATGGAGTCGGAGGTAGCTCTGTTCTTTTTGCCTAGTATCCACCCATTCAATGACATCTTATCATCGGCGCTGTAATATTACTTTCAATAGCAATTTTAATTTCGCTACCACTTGAGGCTTCAACTTTAAACTGCCACTAGATGAGATGACACGAAGACCTTCATCTGTCAGCAGTGCGTAGTCTGCTCTCGTATAATGAAAGCCTTAGTCTTCGGGGAAAACTTATATCTCCAAATGGATGGCAGTCTAAAAAAGGCATTTTGAGCTTCATGAAAACAAACCTCAATTTTTTTACTGAATGACAAATTATAACAAAATTAAAAAGGTATGTAGAAGAAGAGGTATCTGTGGAGGGCTCCTAATGAAGGCAGAACGTTAATGTTTGGTTATAAATGCCTCCACATTCCTACTGGCTGATTGGGAATCAGGCTAGAGTAAGAGGGCTGAAAGGGAACAAACACCTAACAATTGTAATCTATAGCCATTACTGTGTGACGTTGGATGCTGATCGGTGTTCTCACGACCAACAGCGGACATACAAGATGCCCGGCGAACCCCTATTGACGATGCGATCAAGAGTCTCCTTAACTACATGGAATGCAGACGGGTAATGTAGTTCCCTTCAAACACTGAATGCAGTACGTTGGCTGATTTGAAGTATTGGCAAAAGAAAGATTTGGAGTCATGCAAAACGGTTGTCTGCTCGACTTACAGCACATGACTGTCAGAGTTCTGCATCACGGTATGGCAAGTATCTTTCCACCTCATCTACGTTGGTAATGCATTTTCAATCCCTGGCGCTGTCATGATTCCTCTTCGATGTGACCTCGGCACACTGTACCAAATATGAAAAGCCACAAATCCTTCCAGCAGACACAGCATTATTCTGAATTGAGCATTCCATGCTCATGCTTAGGCGCTGACAGAAGGCGTTGCGCTTTTATGTTAATGCTTTTTTATTTATTTCCAACTACCACCTTTACAATGTGCTCGTAATTCTCTTGACGATTATGACCTCCGTTTCACTCTCTACAGTAATATTTGGACACTCCGATGTTCCTTTCAATGTTATGACCCTTGGGAATTTTACGATCCATTTATTGAGGGCACAGCATTGGCGTTGAGCGATTTATACCCTCAGTCTCGTCTGGCGTACCATGGAGCCCAACGCCATTCACGACCTCAGAAGATGCCAAAGAAGGCATTTATTTCGGTGGTGTATCCAACTGCTTCCACTAACTTCTACCTCTTTTCTTTAGCTTGACTGAGCGCAGTGAGCCCATTCCGTTGACACGTTACAGGTTTAAATGGAATAGAAGCAGGTTATCTGCTGAGCAACTGTTGGGGTCTGATGAAGGCAAAATTATAGAAATTATGCTTTACGAATTGTGAGTGATTACAAGCACTTCGGTCAGCACATTATATGAATGCTGCGATATCTCGCGCACTTTGTAGGTCAGCAATCCTGATACTATTGACAAGGTGTCAAATTCTTATCGAATCACTCCATTTACATCCCCATTACAAAAGTAGTCGAGGGCTCATTTAACCTGTTTAAAGCAAAGCGAGTGAGCTAAAGTAAGATTTCTACGGAACATTACTCTGAAATGAGATTTTTGCACGCAACCCCCTACCCAGCTAGTGTCTAGCCCATTGGCCACTAAGGAGTTTGCCAGCGCGAGAAGGCGAAAGGGTGAGCGGACGAGGCGTGTCGCTGTGTATCGCACCGCGCATTACACTTCACACGCACGCCACCTCTCTGAGGACTCTTCGGTTCCCAGCATGACAACCATTCATTGGAACCGTTCCTCGGGACGCGGTGCACTCAGAAGCCGATCCACAGCAGTGATGGACATAGCCAGTCTCTCATCCTTTCTTGCATCTAGCGACAGCGAGTACGACCGTGCCTCACCTCGTCCATCTACCGCTGCCATCACCAATGGCGCTAACATAGCCTCAACCTTCGTTGAGAAGACGAAAAGTTCCATGGAGGATGGCGAACGTCTTGCTCTACAGCTTGTAGAGGCTCAAAAACTCACTCCAGAACAAGTGTTAGGTGGGTACTTGGATGAATTTTCATTAGTATTGCAGCGATTGACAGCCAAATAGCTTAGAGTTAATGCTCACCCGAAGTAGATTTCATTAAAAGTTACAAAAATGGGCACACTTCTAGACCAATGAATAAAACACGAAAATAGAACTAAGATTCTTTGTGCTGTAGGACTGAAATACCTCAGGGACAGAAGTGTGATAATCGCGAAAACTTCCCACAAGTAGAAGTTAACATTGTCCAGAATATACCTTTCGTGACAAAGTCGATCCTTCTGAAACAAGTTTTGTGCGGGACAGGGGCAGCCCACTGAGTGTCCAAAGGTGCTCCCTTAGGCACCCAAACATGTTTTAATGTTCCTCCATGAACAGTGAAAGGAATCATCTTGGACGCGGATTAAATGCCATCAGTTCGAAGCAAAGGATAATAAATCTTGTCACCTTGAAGTGTCCACTCGCATGTTAATAGTGGTACCTCACAATTGCCTCGGAAGTTGTTGTCATTGTCAAACAGGGGATAAGATGAGCTACGCAAAAACTTAATCTGATTAGCTACTGCGTTGTTGGCATCAACAAACTATCAGAGCACGTCTGAACAGGTGCAGCTTAAAGCGGGAAACGCTAATGGGGACTCGCTATGAGGCACTGAATAGCATTGGTAGGACAGGAAGTTTGTTCATTTTAAAACGCTTAAGATGTTACGCTCACTAAAATGGAGAAAAAAATGAATTTCTTCATCGTGGTGCAGAGGCAGGACATGAACTTGACAAGTTTTTTTTGCTGAACGAGGGAAAAAAATTTGAATCCAATCTTCTCGTCCATTAGCAACTGCGAAGGAATGGAGTAGAAGGGCAGTGGAAATGAGCGACATTGTGGCCAAGGACAGCTATTTTATTCAAAATTATTTGATGTAATAGATGCTTTAATTTTGTCTATTGTGGGAAATCGTATTAAACTAAGGATTTTAGATTCCAGGGATCCGATGGAGGAAATTTTACGTATAATACAAGAAATACACACACATAAGAAATGAATCGTCGTGCCCTGTGCTCCCCATCTAATGGAGTCCAAAAGGTGGATCTTAAGATTGGAAAAGCTAGCAAAAGTTAAACTGGGCACGTTGGGTCTCGGTGTGGAGTGGATGCATGGTAGTAGGCAAAAATGTTTGACAGTGGCGCTACGATTGCGCTCCATTTGTTTGCAAGAGTTGGCATGCTCTACGAAGCACCACACAGAAAGCATGAAGCATTCGTTTCCCTTCTGCGATCGCTTTTCATTTTTTCATTCTCTTTTTGCGTACACAACAGGCGTACAAGATGAAGGAAAATAACTTTTGCGGTCACGTTTGAAAGCAGTCTGCAGGGTTGGCGAAAACTCTGATGTCTTTATAGCCTTTGACACATAGGTTGGTGAGCGTTATCTTGTTTTTAAAATTCGGCAAGTCGTTTGGCTCGCCCATTTGAATCAGGTATAAAAGCACCACGACGCTCATTCTCAATGCTGCTCTGCCTGCGCTCTCATTTGTTTGGCATGCTATGAAGTTATTGCTTTCCGCGCCTTGTAGAAATAAGGCGGAGCTTCAATTACTTCGACAAGAATGGCGATGGGTCCATATCCCTTGAGGAATTGACTGCTGCGTTTGGTACCATCGGGCATGCTCACGATCACACACTTATAGGAAACTTGTTTAAAGAAGCCGACGTAAACGGTGAGATTTGCGGGTGTTTTACGCACCACTTTCGAATTTTCTATCAGTAGTGGCAGAACCATTTCGCAATGATGAGGTGATTTTTAGCACCTGATAGCCGAATGTCGCATCAGAAAAGCATTTCATCTTCTTTATTCGCATTCGACACAGTCTTGAATCAAGAAAATGCGTTTCTGCAACTAACTAGCTATATCACAAGGTCGAATATGTTTTTTGTGTTTTAAATTCAAGTTTACTATATTTTAATCTCTTCTGTTTAACACCAAAAACCTTTTTTGCCTAATTGTTAATCGAAATATCGTTGCCTGTGCCCTCCCTTACCGTGGGGAAGATAGCCAAAATGAGAGGAGGTCCAATTTTGCCGACCAAGTCTCCTGATTGACATGAAGATGTTAAAAAATGAGGTGCAAAATTTACTGTGCACGTCCAAAAGGCCACTTTGTTGAGTATTTATGTTCTTACCATGATTAGACCAACACTACTAAGTGAAAATGAGTGCAAGGAAAAAAGCATTTGTAAATTGCTGGTAAATAATCGTAATACTTTGTTTCTATGATCACCTGATGTATGACTGGCCTTCGGGCCAAGCTCAGGCCTAAGTGCTATCTTCACCTTGGAATACGTGCATTTAGCTCCACTTACTGCCTTCGGGACGCTACATTTGTGGAAGCAAAAGCGAACCCGACACATTTTAATGACTCCTATCCCGAAGTGTACCGTTTGTTGCATGCAATTATGGAGAAGTAGGGGCGCAAGAATGTTGAGAATGATGTCTGTGTTTGGCTTTACAGACAAGCTATCAACAACTGAATAGACACCGCCGTGAACCATCTGGAAGAGTTTCTTGTCGGAATTCCCCATACTAAATTCGTATATAGGTGTCGGAATGACACTGAGGTTCTCCTTACATTAATGAACTGTGTGTGATCCTGTTTTCCTTGTAACACTCGCAATTTCCACGTAAGGCTTGTCTTGGTGCTTTTGATGAATTGTGGTCCCACTCGTTTGGATTGTCACCACATTTTAGGCACAGGTTTGCGTCTACAGACCCACAATTAGTCGATGAGATCTGAGGCGGTCTCAGTGGAGCCGTCCGCAAGTGGTCACAGTGGAAAAGAAGCATTGAAAGAGGTAAAAATGCACTTTTCATTCCGTTATTTGGGTTTGAAACAATAACATTTTTTATAAGACGTGGATGGAAGCTGAGAATTAATGCGAAGGCTTCAACTCCAAAAGTTAAACTGTCTTCATATCTTGGTAAATGCATAGCCGACAGGGTTGGCGGACGCTTGGTAACTTCGTCCACCATTTTTTGAAAAGCTGATCCCACAGATTAAAAAAAAACATTTTTTTGGAAAACCAATTGCTTCCTCTTCTGCAAAAACGGAAATTTTGCTAATGGGAATCAAGCGGAAAGACATTTTGTCCAGATTTGTGAAAACAATAAACGAGATAAACGCGATTTTCTCAGATATTCTAAATTCTGACATTTGTAAGAACCATTAGTTGCAAACATCGGAGATTTTTATGCATTTGAAGAAGGTGAATTCGAGGTTGTCGCCCTTCCAAGACAACTTAGAATGTGAAATGGGCAGTGGCGTAAGTTTGATTACAACGCTTCTTCTTTTTTCCGCGCCCCGAGTGGACCAAAATGACGCCTCACGCCTCGTCTCAAGCCATTCTGGATGCTCTCACCATAAGGGGTTCCATTTTGAATGACAAATCCCTTCTTTAGGGACTGTTTATGTGCTGAGGCAATGAAGGGAGCAATTTGGGAGGATACGTTTGCTTTCAGCACCGAGCACTACTTATTGTTTAATTTTAATTTGTCTGCAACCTTTTTTCGCTCTTTTGCAAACACTATGGACACTAGCCGTAAAGGTGGACCACGTTTTGCGGACGTGTAAAGCCATCATAGACGCATTTTTGGGGACGTTACAACGCTAAACAAGAAAAGTAGACATTTGCGCAATAGTAAAAAACTATCCAAGTCTTATTTTGAGGAAAAAACATCAGAAAAGTCCATTTACACAGCAGTGGCACTTAGCAAGGAGTTTTGCCCCTTCATTGATGGCTTTGAGGGTGTAAAATCATTCCGGAATTGAGAAGGAATGCACAAATCCAACTTCGCTACTTATTTATCTGCGCAATCACAGTTACTTTTTTCGCCTTAAAGGAGCTAAATTATTTACTTGTATTTTTTATTTATTCACATTCAATGGACTAACAAGGCGGTTTTCTGGGATTCAGGCAGTCACTCCCATTGTTGGGGCGACTTGAAGGATAAGGTTGTGAACTGCTGACATGTGGGGCGGAAGCAGTGAAAGACTGCTCCAAGCAAAAAGCCAGAAAAAAATGTGACCAAGGTTCACTTTTAAATGTTTTGGCTTTTAGGCGATGGCACGATTGACTACAAGGAATTCGTCTCTCTCATGGCTATGTCCTTCCAAAGCCAGAACCAGGCGGGCAATAGCTCCTCCTCCCGCAACGACATGTACAGGGAAGCCTTCACTGTAAGGCAGTGTTTGTCCTCGCATTTCATTTTCTCTTGCAATTGACAAGGGCAATAAAATAGTATTCTCGAAGGGCAGGGCGGTAGTGCTTAATCACACGCAATTTTCGCACAATAAATAAAGCTTACAGTAATCTCAACTTCCTAAAATAAATTCTCGAATCGGCTTGATTGACAAAAGTAGACTAAATCCACTTTATTTTGCACAATACGCCTCTTTCAACGAAGTCCTAAACACACTGAAATTCCAGAGGAGGAAGGTGATCCCATTCAGTCACTTGGAATGGGGAAATGACAAGTTGGAGAGACAAAGGCGCAAAGCATTCAAAAATTCACCCCCCTTTTGGTGATGCTTCAGTCCTCTTCATGTGGTCCGGTCGCGCGTTAGCCACGTCCTGTTGATGTACACTGCCGACAGGGTGAATGACTGGCACTCTGTTCCATTCAGCCGTAGTAAACAATCTGTCCTAATTATGAGCGTTTCTTTTCAAATCATTTGTAGACAGAAGACTCCTAACCTAAAAATAACTGCTGTTGTGTCGATTTGTACCGACTGCAATTACTGCTCGCTAAATAGATAAGCTTTGCGCATAAAATCCCTTCAAGCCTTCCAGAAGATCTGAGGAAAGACTCTATTGTGTTACATAAATGACATAACAAGATTAAATGACTCCTTAAATATGCAATTTAGTAAACAGCAACGCCTTACTGACAGTTTCTTAATTCTCCAAAAGTGTACCTACAGTAGTAACTAGAAGGTCTGCATTCTCCGAAGATTATTTCCAGACGGGAGATGGAGTGTGTTCCAACCGAGTACACAATGTCGCAGCATTCTCATACCATATTGTTCCCATCACCCTCTTTCCACGTCTCACTGCAAGCTCACTGACTTCACTTTTGTTTTACTGCCTTCGATCTTATCGCACTCACAGCAAAAGTTAGCGAAAAATCTCGGTTTTTTTATTACAAGGAATCGAGATCCGAGGTTGCAAGCGGTCCCAAACTAACTTTGTGAGGGTCGCAACATCTAAATTTGGTAACTGAAATGATTTAACACACCAACATTCCATTGCGTCTTTGCTTCGAGAAGCTGAAAATCTAATAAATTAAATTCTTCAGAGGTTTGATGTAAACAACGATGGAGTGATAGATTCAAACGACCTCAAGGAGTTGATGATGAACATTGGAAAGCAGTTGAATGACAAGGAGATCTCCGAGATGATTCTGGAGGCCGATAAAAATGGGGATGGTGTCGTGGACTATGACGGTAAGCTTTCCTTTACTTTGCAGCCTCACCTTCTTCTTCACTTGAGGAGGTTGCTCCCATGCCCCCTAATTTGGCTTCAAATCCTCTTCAAGGAACCATCAAAGGAACGTCTAGGCTAAATGCAAAATATATCAAAAATTTCTTCCACACCACTTATAAATTGATGCAATGGTTCCTCAAACACGGGATTTTTTTAATTTCTTAAGCATTTGCTAAAAATGGAGCAAAAATCCAAAGAGATTTTCTAATTTTGCCCTGTATTTTGCCATTTGTAGAATTCGTTCACATCATCGAGTCAGGTGTAGACTTTTCTCATGCCACCTGAAGTAGAGCGGATTTGTGATGAATCAGACACGAAGACATTTCTTTTAAATGAATTTCTACGCAAAACTTCAATTTATCCGAAGATGTTTCCTTTTGCTGGTCTTGGTGGGACTGGTGGCAAAGCTAGCGCAATGCTTTGGTGGTCTGATTGCATCGAAACCTGCGCTGGGGATGACAACTTCAGTATAATTCAGTTGTGGGGAAGTAGTTTGAAAAGGAACACTATTTTTACTTTTAAGCACCATATTTTTGCTTCCTAATAACCACGCAGTGCATAATTTTTGTAATCAAATTTTGCTCTCGGCACGAATTCTCAGGCTCTCGAGCTTCTCCAACTTCACGCGCCGCACCTAAGACCTTTTAAGGATCTCCGGCAAGAGCCAGTAGCTGTTAGTATAAGAAGGACCCCTGACGATTTTTTCCAGTTCCATCGAGCGTCAGAAACCAACTATAGACGTCATTGTTGTAGTAAGCAAACGAGAGGGGCGGGGAGGGAACATAATTAAAGAGTATATTTGCATAAATGTCATCACGACGTCGAAGTATGGTCCTCTTCTAAAGTACTCTGTATACCACGACAGTAGAAAATTAGTAATTTTCTGGTGAAGAGCCTAAAAAGTCAGGTTATGCCATTCAAGTGTGTCTGAGCTTTTAAAAGTATAGGTAGACGATAGTGGAATGAATTCGGCGGTCGCCGATGGGCTTATGGATCTTGTCGAGTTCATCGCCCCATCGAAGTTCTGCAACAAACGACGCAAGACAAGTTCGAGGGCAGCTCATATTATGCAAAAGCAACATCGTTTTGGAAATCTTAGAAAATTGCCACCCTCTCAGTTAAATTTTTGATCTGTACTTTGCCTAGTGTGCATTTTGCGGCAGCATGGAATCCCACTTCGTGAGTCCCTTCGTCGTTTCTTTGCGGTTATTGCATAAGTTGAAGGGCATTGCTGCATTGCTGCATTGTTGTAGATAGCAACTGCTGTCAATCGCTAGCAATCGTGATAAGGGCGGGTCAGATCTTTTGTTTTATTTAAGTAAATTTTCAAAAAATGCTTTGATGCATGAGACAATAAAAAATGTTCACAACTAGATACTGAGGGAGCAACCACACAAATTTACCCACTGAGAGAGCGTCAACTTTTTCGTAGTTCTGTCTTGATTAACTGTAGCAGAATTTGCAAGAAATGCTTCATCATCTCATTCTAAAATGAAACAAATAACAATTTAAAAGGTGCGACTCCAGTTATTAAATAAATTTGGAACATTATTTCGAACAGACTATTTCCCAAGTCTACAGAGCCCGAGGGGCAAATGAAAGCTCAGCGGCGTTTTTGCCAGGTTCACAATTTGATACACATCAAAGCACTTTGACGGTAGCGTTGTCCATAAAAGCTACAAAACTAATGAAATATGTAAAAAATGGAAACAGACTGCAAGATTAATGGCCTCCGGCTCCCAGTCGCCAGTGCCATGAAGCTGTCCAGATAAAAGGCGCTGGTAATCACCTGAGGCATGACAAGCTGATAAATGGGCGTGGCATGGACGACAAACTCTCGGTTAATTGGCACCAATTTGGTGGCGAGGCTATTTTAAAGCGACGAACTTGATTGCTTGACTTCACAATCTCGTAAAATCAGAACTCGTGTAAGCTATAAAGGTGAAGTCAACTGCAGGGTTGCATTTACTTCAACGCCGTCAACTGAAGAGTCCTTCGAGCTTTCGGGTGATGATTTCCCCACTCTTGTTTAAACCTTCGGGGAAAAGATATTAAACTTGAATATAATCACAAAAGCATCGCAAATTGATGCACTTTTCATCTGTCACATGTTAATAGTAGAGGTCCAATTGCCACCCTGTGTTACAGCTTTTTTTAATTCCCCAAAAGTTTTTTGTGCAGCTTATTTAATTGACTTTTCTTACCGATCATAAAACAAAATAACGCAATCAAAGGGCATTGTTTGTGGTATTTGAAGGCTGGGAGGCACACAGTGACAAGAGTCATTGACGAGAGGGACGGAGGGTGAAGAGAACTCTGCTCCGTGATGAGTGAAGAGTGAGCTCATAGTGTTGTAGAACCGTCGTTTATTGCATATATCCTTAAACTTATTCGTCTTCTCCTATTTTATGTGTCATTCTTGATCTATCACAGCAGTTCATGCGAATCTCATTCAAAGACCACGGAGAAGTAAATGGTGTAGCTGAACTGCATTACGATGAGGAACTTTTAAAGCGACTTAAGAGAGGCAGTCATGGCAGAGCTAGTTAGAATTACAGAGTGGGATTTCTTAGTTTCAGGTAGCGAAAGATAGCAAACTCCTTCCATTGCCAAAAATTGCGGGGATTTGTTCCATCTTGAGGATACATTGCCACATAGCAACTTTGGATGGCGATCACTAACCCGCAAAATGGCTTACATGGCAAAATGCCAGTGTTAAGGCCGGTCTACAAGAACTGATGAATTAGCACAGCAAAGTCAAACTAAGAAACCGACAATGTTTTCGAGCTTGTGACTTCGCTGAATGGCGGTAGACATGAGTGGGTGAGTAACGAAGCAGTGCTAAATGGTAATGACTGAAACCGAACCTCTACCTGGTTTTGCGTTTCCCATCTGACTCTGTTGAATGTCTTTCAGCAATTTAACAAGCAGTTAAATGGTGGTAGTGGTTGATAAATGGGAGCCAGTTTTAGTAAGAATTACGACACCACATAGGCGAAAACGAGTCATCACATTCTTAACCACATTTACTGAAACTTCTTTAAGCTATTCGAAAATGGTGCAATTGCAGGTAAGAACATTTTCATTGGGTTCTTAGTAAGTTGCAATAAAGAAGATCACACCACAGGTAAGATCTTCTGAATTATCATGAATGGCTATTTTGAACCCAAATATGGTTAGATTCTTGCTGATTACTTATCAATTGAGTTCTTACATGTTTGTTCAGCATCAGACTTTGTGATAAAACTCGAGCAGAGCATAAAATCTTAGCCTAAATCACTGCACCGTTATGCCACTTTAAAACTGGTAAAGAACATGTTCGATGCTTATATTTTGTAAAATTAAATCCATGTGAATTTATAAATATAGATCTGTCGCCTACACATCTATGATCGAAAAGAAATTCATACTCACTTCATTTTGGGCTCCAAATGGGATGTATAGCATCAGTGAATGTCTTATTTATGGTTTTCAAAGTGAGTCGCAATGCTGAGTGTAATTCAAACATGATAACATAACAAATATGACCAATACATTAATGTAACGGCTGGTCCTAACTCTTAAATTCACATAAGATAATTTCTTCAAATTATACCTACTAACAAATATAGGTACGTAGTATATGCGAAAACTCGAAAATTGGAGCACGTATTGATTAAGCCAAATTATGATTGCGGAACCAGATTTTGCCCCTGACTTAAAACAGAAAGCTTCATCTTTTTCACTTCTGGATTTTTATTAACATTTGACCCTTGGTTTTGAGCCTAATGCCAATAAAACTAACCCAAGTAGTTCTGTTTTAGGCACTTGCGCGTTCGGTCAATTCGAAAATGAGGCAATATTATGTGGATAACTTACCCTTCAAATAAAGCATTACGATCTTGCTCTGGTGGTTAACCAATTTCAATGCTGAATAAAGTCTTGCTTTGATTAGCAAAAAAAAACTTATCATAGGTTCCTTCCTGTTCGAAATGGAGCTCGAAGCATTTGATGGAGTAAAGAACGATTGACAATTAAGAATTGTATAATACTTTGCTATTAGTGTCTAGTCTGAAAATTGTATTACACGACACTCAAAAGTGATGCTTTTCACACTATATCTGAGTGATGGTGAGCAAAATATCCATGCTGTTCAAAAACGACTGTCAGACAATACTGCGGAGAAAATGCGTTTCATGCGCTACTCCGATTGCCGTTAATGTTTGGTGGAAAAGGCGAATCGTCACTGAAATTTTCGCTTGTAGTGAATCCAATATACAGACGCCCAGATGCATTAGTATTCTTCTGAGGTTGAAGGAGACCCCGGAAACTAGGGCTAAAGCCATCCACCTCTTGCTACCCCAAATTCAATTACCTCTTTGATGTGGCTCTAGCCAAAGAAATAATAGTTTCCAAATTCGAACCTCAGAATTACTTAATTTCATGAAATATTTTAGTTTAGTTGAATAAAGCTACGTATTTTAGATAAAAAATAAATTGCTCGCCACACCCAAACAACCACGATGTAATTTAAAGGAAAATCGGCACAGAAACTTAGTAATTAGTGCAAGCAACTTGTAAACAACAAAATAATCTGCAGAAAATCCTTTGTCAGTAATAGGGTTGGATCTGTTGTAATCCCCTTCCGCTATAGATAAGAGCTTTGCGGCTACTCCACACTTCCAGCAAGAGCTAGAGAGTTGGCAGCATTAGTCACTACACATTCGATTGGGGCACTCCTCTGTTTCCTTATCGACTTATAAATTGCGGCTGACAGTGCTCTTCGTCCGCTAAAGGACATGCTGGGTTCCTCTGGTTCCGACTCCACTTCCTTCAGTGCTTTACTCATGGCCAAAAGAGTTTGATTGCCCTTCGTCTGAGTGGCGGACTTTCGTAGGTTGAGACGTTTGGCGATTTCGAATGCAATTTGAGTCCGGTAATGTCGAAGCCCTAAATTCGATCCCCGAACTTTGTCAGGACATTCGGTAATCGCAATACGGTTCTCCAATGAAGACGTCATTTTTGGGAATGGCCAAATGCGCTGTGGCAAAGTTCGACGCCTACTCTCCTGCGCTTAACAACCAATCAGATGGCACGGCAACAAGCGGGTTGTCAATTTTCAGCTGGTTGTGAGTGGACAATATGCCTGCAGTTAAAATAGCTGGTAGTCAATGAACAGCATTGTTTCAGTACACAGAGAGTTAGTTATGAAAGTGGGACATACGTTTTCTACTCTATTTAACAAAGTGAAAAGAGACTACTGGGTTATGAATGCCTTAATTTTAGTGTCTAGCTATTTGGGGCAAAAACAAGCAATATTAAATGCAGAATTTTAAAGACTTAAAGCTTTGAGGCACCGTTGGCTCAACTAGTAAAACAGCCACTTTAACATACATGCAGGATATGGTGAAAGACAAGCTCAGCCTTTGTGAAAGCCCATAAGGCTATCAAGCCGGTTAGCCATAAAGAGTAGGCAGAAGAAAGTCCGTGAAGCGAGTAAGAAGTCCGAGTAAAGTGAGTCGCCTATGTCACCACATTTGAGCAAAAAATTTCACCTCACTGCATATAACACCATAAAAGTGATTCGCAAAATAATTTACCCAAGTAAAAGAGCTACATAACTTCGATATCGAATGTGAATGGCACCTTAGCACAGCTACGACTTTAGAGCCATGCCCGTAGCAGTTTAGCAATTGTGTAAATCAAAATCGGGATTGCATACTTGTTTGATTAAGTGCTAGATCAAAGAGAACTCAGTCAGCACAGAGCAGAAGCAGTGTTAGTTTTAGATGATTTTCTGCAATAAAATCAACAGAACAAAACATCAAATGTAGAGCTGATGTTCTTAATCTATTAGAGCTGTGGAAGCCAACACTTTAGATCAAATGTGAATTCTTACAACTTAATATAGGCTTAAGAATGAGTTAAAGGCGAAGCACAGATCAGTATACGTAGTGGTACCTAGCACTTCGATACTCCCTTCATAAGGCTGGGACAGTGCACATTCACTATGTGTTGGGTACTGCAGCTACTAGCACAGCACAGAGGTCGGCTCATTAGACAAAGCTGCAAAGGTCAAGCCACAAAGTGGTCCAATCATAAATGCACAAACAGCTTTTAAGTATTTGCAATTTAAACTATCAGGTACGAGCCTCTGAAAAAACTATAGCTTCACCGTGCTCGTTGCTGCAATACTTTGTTTACTCAACTGCCTGTACGAATGGTGAGAACTTTGTAGCTATCTAGCTTCTCTCCAAAGGGAGCGGACTTTGGGCTATGTCAAGGCAATGCCACATTCATTTCTGTCTGATCACAAATATGCAGCAGGGTCTATGCCCTCCAATAGGTGATATAAAGCCATAGTAGGCTGCTATAATACATTTTCAAAATTACCATTTACACTTTAATATTCATAGCACTTCGCCTGTATGATCACTTCTATGACTGGGGGCACTTTGGCATGATGTTCGCTCCTGTGCACGCGGACTGGCCTTTGAGTCGAGCTAAAGAAGGGTCTCTCTGCCGCTCCTTGAATACATAAATTTGACATTACTTGATGTCTTATTCTATTTAGTGAGAAGCCTAGGGACCCGACAATACTCACCTGTCACTTGGCTGCGTGAGACGGCCCTCGAGATAAGCTAAATTTCGCCTCCTGTAATATTTTGTTTATGTGACCATTTGACGTTAGGTGGTCATTTTGGAATGTGTCTGGCCCTTGTACACATGGGCTGGCTGTCGTCTTCAGAATACATCTATCCAGCTACAGTGGTGGTGGCGGAATGCGAAACTGACATTTTCTTTTTAATAACTTTTAGCCGAGGTGGGGTCTCTCTGCGGCTTGTTCTTCGTTGGTCGTTTGTTAAAAGTGACCTGGTGTCCGCGAAAATCTATTACCCATCAGACACCGCTGTCTTACTAGCATCCTACGTTTGTGTTGCTAAACTTTGCCAATTAATCGACTGATTTCCAAGAAAAAAAAATCATTTCGAACAAGTCGACGAGCGAGCATTCGATCGGATGATGCACTGGTTCAATACATGCAGATACCCCAAAATCGGGTTCCCTCGGCCGAAAAGTCGAAACCTCTCTTTTCACGACAAGAAGTTTATAATCCAACCAGCAGATAAGACTGCGATGGAATTCCATCTTTTAGTGGAGAAATCCAAGATTAATAAGCGCATTTTGGCGTTGCACAGCGGCAATCATGAGCTATAAATGCGTAGAAGGAAG